GACAATAAAAAGTATTGCCACCCCTGCACACGGATCGTGGAGTTAAATAAACTTTCACTCCCCCCACCTATCCAATATGGCGGCAGACAAAGGAATTTAAAAATTTCTCACACCAAAAATTGATCAAAGAACAGGAAACGGGCTCGGTTTTCCTTGTCGCCAAATGAAGTGAACCCGAGTGGCTAAACTCACTTATTCTCGTGATAACTACAGTCTAAATGATAGTGATACACAAAGGCGGCTGACACACCCTGATCAGGGGCATGAACAACTTACCTTTAAATTTCCACTGTCTGGACTCCTATGCAAACTTCAAAAAGCTCCTAGTCTGTCACTACAATCTGTACCAATTGGATCTGTCTAGTAGGAAGAACTTAGGAATATTTGCTTAGTGAAGAATATATACAAAGGAGGTGCTGATCCTACGGAGGTGTCTCTCTAGCGAGGTCGCTCAGTGGAATCGTTGAGTGAAGATAGCTCTCAAATTTTCCGCTGTCTATCTCATACTGCTAGGTGGCGCAACATCATATTAATAGATGGCGCTTTATTCAATACAAGCCACAACCGTAATCACAACAATAAACTAACCGCCGAAGAAAACAAAAAATGAAGTTCGACGAGATACTAGAACACAGTGGAGAGTTTGGCAAAAGCCAGGCAAGGGTTTTGTGCCTTCTTTGTATCCCACAAATCAGTGTCGCCTTGCAGATCGTAGTGGTGGTGTTTCTGCAGGAGACCCCAGACCACAGGTGAGACGATTAAATGAAATAACTGCAAATAAGCACACTCTTGCAGCTACATGTATATGTAGGTGCACATGCATGCACTGGTTGGATATACAAATCCCAGCAAAGCTTGGTATCGAGTTGCAACCACGTTGCTACCACGCTATAATGTGTTGTAGGCTACATGTGTAATACATGTAGCTACGTGGGCATAATAGGCGTGATTTTGGGGATACAAGGAGAGAGAGAGAGAGAGAGAGAGAGAGGCCTGTATGTCAGTTAGGTCATTTGAAAATGTAACAGAAAATCATGCATTCCTCGGCAATGGTTATGTGTCGCATTTCACACGTACGGTATACACCAAAAAGACCCACATTGGCTTGCATTCATGTTTACCGCTATTACCACTACCGCTATTACATGTAAAATATTATGTATCTGTCTGAAAACAAAGAATAAGGTCTTTCGTGCTATGACACAAATACATATAACAAATAGAAAAAAAGTTATATCTCAAAGGTAATATAAATACACAGACATTTAATAATTCTCAAGATATCTTTTTATTTCGCCCAAGCACATGTTTTATGCCATTGCTTAGCTAATTAAAACACAAGCGGCAGTAATTGTGCCAAAGGAACCTTCATCACGGTTGAGGACCAAAGGAATTTAAATTCAAACTATAAGATAATGCACCTTAAGGTTAATGGCACGTTCAGTTAATGTGTGAAGTACATGTTAAAATTCTTGCCATTGCATCCAAAGGACAATTACAGCATATATTACATTGCATCAATTGTCCCTCGTCGACAAATATAAATTGATAAGCAACTGTATGTTAGTATCTTAGTTGCCTGCCTTATGGCACTGAGAGTAAAAAGTGATTACATTTAATAAAACTAAACATAAATAATGATATTATTAACTATAATTATAAAAAACAATCAACAAATGAATAAAACCGACTTATCCCCCGGAGAGAGAGAGAGAAATTTAATGTTTTTCAAAACAGGTAAAAATTTCATATTAATCAAATTTTAATTAAAATCATTCCGAAATCGTAGACTATAGTTTAAGGTGGAGGTAACACCAGGTGGCGTACTCCCAAAAGAACATTTACTTACCATCACACCACTTTAAGTAACATCAGGAATCTATTAGCGCCAGTTGTGCGTTCTTGTCACAATAAATAATTATGCCTAAAAAGATATAAAAATGTCCGGTTACATGTGCATTTGCAATTCAGCATAAGAGAATTATAGGTCGAAGGTAATAATGGTTCGTATTACGATGTACTACACATAGTATTAATATAATGCAGAACGTTAGGCCAGAGGTGTGCATCTCCGCTCTAGTAAATGGAGAAGAAATTGAGAAAACAGAAATGAAGTTCGGCGAGATAGTAGAGCACATTGGAGAGTTTGACAGTACAGAAGCCAGGCTTGTTTATTGTATAACTTAAAACAAAGGGGGGGGGGGGGAATAACAATTGTACAGTAGTATTTTACCTAAATCCTACATTTAAACCTGGCCTATACCGAATACATTTGCATTTCAGATAGATAGTGTTAGCTACTCCATTATACCCATTTTTAATTTATATTAATATGATATGAAAGGATGTCTTTTGGTATTTCTGCAAGTTGTACTATTTGAAACCATATGGTGGCCTTTGGTTCGGTTTCGTGGCAAAAAAGGTGCAATTTAAATTTAATAATATAACATAGAGATACACGTGTCCTCTTTTAGGTGCAGTCTTCCGGCATTGGTGAATGATACTTACCTCGTACAAAACTCATGGCACGAGGATCTGGTGAACCTTACTATCCCAATCAATGACAAAGATGGCGGCTACGACAAATGTAGCTACTACCGGCAAACCGACTACGGGAACAAAACGTTAGCTGAATGCGACACTTGGGTGTATGACACATCGGTCTTCTCGAAGACATTCCCAATGGACGTGAGTATTTGCACACATTAAGCCTGGTGTACATGTGCATGGAATTGTTCTGAATATGCACATGGGTTCAATGTATCCTATCCAAAATTTTCCATCCAAGTCAAAATTTTTTCTACTCACAAACCGGCGCCTTTTGATGAGTTTTTATTGTTATAAGAATTGAGTACACTGGGAAAGATAAGTAGCTTTGTACAATATTCAGACCAAATATGACACTCGAGCAAATTTAAAACACCGAATTATATAGAACTACAATTTAATTCACATCCGAGCAAGATTATTTATGATTGAGTGGTTTTGTTCAACAATGCTATGCCAATTATATTCTTCTGTTTCTCCCAGCACTTTGTCCATCTTTACACCTCTCATATACTCATATTCCAATGGTTAACTGTATAGTTTCAGTTGGTGTGCAAGAACTCATTCAAGGTCCGTAGTATCCAAGTCATCTTTTTGAGTGCTGTTCTCGTAGGATCTATAATTGGAGGAATTTTAGCTGACTAGTAAGCTGATATATCACTCTTAAAGTATTTTAAACTCCTTTTTTAGGATTTCTTTTTTTTTTTTTCATTTTTGAGTGTCCGCATTAGTGCATGCGCAATGGCTTCCCGTTACGTAGGAAAACCTACATGTACAGTACACGTAGCTTTTTAAGTTTGAAATTGAAGTAAATGATTTTAAAATAATTTAAAATCCATGGAGCAAATTGTTATATTAAGAATTACCACGCCAACTATTTTTTAATTTAATTATATAAGAATACCAAAAAAAAAACATTAAATGATTTTTTTTTATAAAGTGAAAAGTGTTCCAACCTTCATACTAAGATATAATACCTATTTATTTCAGCTGTGGTCGTAAGCCTGTACTTCTCGTATCCTGTCTTCTCCATGCAGGAGCAGGAGTGGGTGCTGCTTTCTCTCCAAATTATACTGCTTTTGCCGTCTTCAGGTTTTTGGTTGGATTGGCCAGTCCCAACATATTCGCATCGGCGCTGGTGCTCGGTAAATAAAACAAATAATGCCTTTGTTATCTCTTTAATGCAGCGTATTTCCTCTTGTATTAACCAATGCTTTAACTGTTTTGATCATAGGCCTATCCCATATGTTTAATATTTTAAAGACAATTTTAAAGGTATCATTTCATAATGTTTAAATCCGAACCCTAAAGATAGCTCTTGGACTGAAGGTTTTTTATTGACAATTTATTTATTTATTTATTTATTTCAGCCTTGGAACTTGTGGGTCCAAGTAAACGTATGGTGGCAGGTTTAGCTCCAGAATTTGCCTTCTGTACAGGCTTGGTACTTCTGACACCTCTTGCTTACGGCATACGGGACTGGCGATATCTTCAACTCGCTGTATCTGTCCCTTCCTTCCTGTATATTTTTTTATGGTGGTGAGTATAATCTCGTAAAATAATTCATCATATGATGACCAGTTACGCATCTTCAACTCTAACTTATGGTTTGGGACGAACAAAACGCTCCTGCAAATTATTAGAACACTGAAGGCATATGAATCATATAATAGATGGATGGCATCAATATATTCGCCTTAAACGCCTTAACACATCTTGACAAATTACGTTCAGTTCTACTTCTCTGATGTTGTGGACCCTACATACAGAATTTAAAAAAATACATTAGTTATTCGGCTTGTTTTTACGACCTGATGGCTTTTTCTGATTCTTTTCGTGTAGGCTCATCCCAGAATCTCCTCGTTGGTTACTAACAAGAGGTCACACAGAGAGGGCAGAGAAAATCTTACGCTGGGCCGCCAAGGTGAACAAGAAAACCCTTCCTGCCACGATTTTTGACGAGAAAACACTTGAGAAAACGGAATATGTGAGCCCGCTGGAGATGCGCAAGACTCCAAGGCTCCTTCTACGGACTTTGCTTGGAATGTTTGTTTTGTAGGTTTAGCATTAGTGTGTGAAAGGTATTATAACTTGATTTTACCACTATGATCAATAACAAGGATGGCAGTGTTTACTCCTATAAATACATGTAGTTAAGCAGTTTTTTTTTGTCGTGGGCATCAATCTATCAATAAATGAAGATCGAGAACAATAAAAATTCTAGGGCAAAATGGACAGAAGAAGACGGAAATCTAAGTATTCGTGTTTTCTTTTGGGAAATGCGGACACTCGGTTTCTCTCCCTGTCGGCTGCTGATTTGACGGATCTATTGAAGTGTGAAATTTACTTTTTTCATTTTCAGTTTTGTCATAACTTTGGTATACTACGGTCTCATCCTAAATCCAGGAACACTGGCCGGGGATCTCTTTGTGAATTATTTCCTCACAGCCTTTACTGAATACCCGGCTTACTGCATTTGTTTCGTCATCAATAAATTGGGAAGAAGATGGCCGCATGCTATTAGCATGATGGTCGCCGGAGTTGCTATGATCTCCACTATATTTGTCGAGCTCTATGCTAAAAAAGGTAATGGCAGAAAATTGGTTTGAATATGAGTAATGTTTACTATATTAGTATGTGCAATATTGAATGGAAAATGAACACCATAATTTAGCATAAAATGGAGACCTATGTTCTTATTAGGAAATTGTCAGTACTGAGATTTTCATAGATAAGAATACTAATTGGAAATATACATGTATATAAACTTGAATATACATAATTTTTATTTATAAACAATTTTTAGAACTGTCACAAAAATACATTTCCTCTTTCAAAGTGTTCTAATAACGATGAAAACGTTTCTGGACACGGAATTAGGACTGACATATTCTCTCCACGCCTCATATTTCAGGGTTACTGTCAACAGACGTTGCTCAAACCTCTCTCTTTATGGTTGGCAGAACTGGAATCACCGTAGCGTTCGGTATTTTCTATATGTGGTGTGGGGAATTTTCCCCGACGCCCCTCAGAAATTTTGTGGTAGGCATATGCAACGTGAGTGGTCGGATGGGGGCCGTGTTTGCACCGCTGATAATGGTACGTATTTTATTATTATAATTTTTTTAAATTTTATTGGTAATTCATAACATTTTGATAATTATGATTTTGTAAAACATGGAAACGGGATATATAGATTGCAATTTTGAACAGGTCTGGATATGGGTTACCTTCGTGACTAAAGCGAAATTGTTGAAAATTTCAAGAAGATTTTTGTTATTATTGTCTGTAACATGAAAGTATGTCACTTTTTTGATCCGATTTCAGTGCTTATTGTACATTATTTTTTGAAACTTGTATACAGCATTTTTACCATTAGGCGATTGAACAGAGGGAATTAGAAACATGGAGACCGATGCAGTATTTGGCATAGCTATGCGGGGTAAATATGGCCTTTCTACTGAAATTACAACTGTCTTTTATCAGGAAGAATTTGGAAGAAACGCACAACTTGGGAACACTATACCATGGACAATATTTGGCGTATTGGCATTGGTTGCTGGAGTAAGCTCCCTATTTCTGCCAGAGACTCGCAACAAGCAACTCCCAGAGACATTAATAGATGCTAATGTTTTTGGTGTGAAACCAACGTAAGGATTTCAAAGCATCTCTCTCTTTCTCCTTCTCCCTCTTTTATTCTCCCTCTCTAGTGACAAAGCTGTCCATAATAAAAGAACAAACTGTATTTTTACAAATATCATAGGGGATAGTTACTGTTACGTCACAATTTCATAATTTNTATGTGAGCCCGCTGGAGATGCGCAAGACTCCAAGGCTCCTTCTACGGACTTTGCTTGGAATGTTTGTTTTGTAGGTTTAGCATTAGTGTGTGAAAGGTATTATAACTTGATTTTACCACTATGATCAATAACAAGGATGGCAGTGTTTACTCCTATAAATACATGTAGTTAAGCAGTTTTTTTTTGTCGTGGGCATCAATCTATCAATAAATGAAGATCGAGAACAATAAAAATTCTAGGGCAAAATGGACAGAAGAAGACGGAAATCTAAGTATTCGTGTTTTCTTTTGGGAAATGCGGACACTCGGTTTCTCTCCCTGTCGGCTGCTGATTTGACGGATCTATTGAAGTGTGAAATTTACTTTTTTCATTTTCAGTTTTGTCATAACTTTGGTATACTACGGTCTCATCCTAAATCCAGGAACACTGGCCGGGGATCTCTTTGTGAATTATTTCCTCACAGCCTTTACTGAATACCCGGCTTACTGCATTTGTTTCGTCATCAATAAATTGGGAAGAAGATGGCCGCATGCTATTAGCATGATGGTCGCCGGAGTTGCTATGATCTCCACTATATTTGTCGAGCTCTATGCTAAAAAAGGTAATGGCAGAAAATTGGTTTGAATATGAGTAATGTTTACTATATTAGTATGTGCAATATTGAATGGAAAATGAACACCATAATTTAGCATAAAATGGAGACCTATGTTCTTATTAGGAAATTGTCAGTACTGAGATTTTCATAGATAAGAATACTAATTGGAAATATACATGTATATAAACTTGAATATACATAATTTTTATTTATAAACAATTTTTAGAACTGTCACAAAAATACATTTCCTCTTTCAAAGTGTTCTAATAACGATGAAAACGTTTCTGGACACGGAATTAGGACTGACATATTCTCTCCACGCCTCATATTTCAGGGTTACTGTCAACAGACGTTGCTCAAACCTCTCTCTTTATGGTTGGCAGAACTGGAATCACCGTAGCGTTCGGTATTTTCTATATGTGGTGTGGGGAATTTTCCCCGACGCCCCTCAGAAATTTTGTGGTAGGCATATGCAACGTGAGTGGTCGGATGGGGGCCGTGTTTGCACCGCTGATAGTGGTACGTATTTTATTATTATAATTTTTTTAAATTTTATTGGTAATTCATAACATTTTGATAATTATGATTTTGTAAAACATGGAAACGGGATATATAGATTGCAATTTTGAACAGGTCTGGATATGGGTTACCTTCGTGACTAAAGCGAAATTGTTGAAAATTTCAAGAAGATTTTTGTTATTATTGTCTGTAACATGAAAGTATGTCACTTTTTTGATCCGATTTCAGTGCTTATTGTACATTATTTTTTGAAACTTGTATACAGCATTTTTACCATTAGGCGATTGAACAGAGGGAATTAGAAACATGGAGACCGATGCAGTATTTGGCATAGCTATGCGGGGTAAATATGGCCTTTCTACTGAAATTACAACTGTCTTTTATCAGGAAGAATTTGGAAGAAACGCACAACTTGGGAACACTATACCATGGACAATATTTGGCGTATTGGCATTGGTTGCTGGAGTAAGCTCCCTATTTCTGCCAGAGACTCGCAACAAGCAACTCCCAGAGACATTAATGGATGCTAATGTTTTTGGTGTGAAACCAACGTAAGGATTTCAAAGCATCTCTCTCTTTCTCCTTCTCCCTCTTTTATTCTCCCTCTCTAGTGACAAAGCTGTCCATAATAAAAGAACAAACTGTATTTTTACAAATATCATAGGGGATATTTACCGTTACGTCACATTTGCATAATTTTCCATATTTTTTCAGCAGGGGGTCCGGTTTATCAGATCCAGCACATGCCATAACCCTCATACCAAAGCAGTCGCCGAAGGACCCCAAAAATGACACGTTACTACAAGACAAGTCCAGCTCTTTAGGCATCTAGGAGAATATTTCGCGCTGCAACGCCCTTAACTGTTCTCTTCAGAGTACAAAGATATAACACAATCTGCAATGGGTTCAACAAAGGGTGCCATGCGCTCAAGACATAGTGCCCTATGTACTGTGTACATGTATGAGATTTTCTATATATGAGAAGTTTTCCTTGTTACTTTTTTGTAAGCAAATTTCTAACCAGCTGTAAGATATTATAGTGGATAGGGATCTAGTGAGGACGTTTTCATTAAGACCTGTTTAGCACTACTTAGTCTCAATGTACCGTGCCATGTTTTAATCCGCCTTGACCTGTCTATAAACGTGCGCGTATGGGGATAGATAAATAGATAATCCCTTAGCAAAATGAAAAATATGCAGCAAATATGCAGGAAATATGCTGCAAACTAAATAGTTTGCAAGAAACAGGTTGTTACAGAAAACGATTGTAGCTGTAAATTGATGCAAATTTGCAAGGAATTTTAAGTTTGTGAGAATTCTTCGCATCTTATCAAATTTGAAACAGTACCTCATTTGCATGGTTAAATTCTTCCTTACAAATTTGCAGCAACAGTTTGATAAAAGCCAAAAATTTTGCTAAGTATAGATACATAGATAGAAGTTTGAAATTAAAAGAAAGGAATAATGAACAGTATATATAATTCTTAGATATGTTTATAAATGAAAAAAGTCTGAGATACCAGGATGATTTGAGTACATAAAATTCACTGTTCATGCACTGTAGACTGTTTATATAAAGTGACCGAGAGTTCTCGACGGTTATTTAAATGTAGGTATGGGGGTTCGGTTTACATTTGAATTTGTAGGTATAATTTTTTGCAGGATATTTTTGCTGCAATTCTACAGGTTTAGGACCATTATTTGTGGTTCATTTTTTTGTCACATTTAACAAGGCAGAAAATATACCTTTTGTGAGATGTATTAAAGCTGCCTGCATTAGTATAGATTTTATACACAACACTGTTTTCGTATCCTTTGTTATCTGAAAAATAAAATAAATATTATTATATAATAATAATAAATATTATTATATATGTTTCGTTGTTGTTGTTTGCCACGCTGGGCAATATGGTACCTATTCTCTGATGGTTCTAGATGTGTTATTTGTCATGAAGGTAAAGGTCATGAATGCTTTATCGTTTTAAAACGGTGTCCAGTCATTAGGAACTACTTATGAAGTTTAAGTTAAAAAAAAGGAGACATCGTATCCAAGTGCTGGAAAGGGTCGATCGATGTTTTTGAGTCCGGGAAAATTATTCTTTCCTCCCCGAGAAAAATTTTGGCTGGTAAATCACGCGAAGAGTAACTTTAACTTTAAAAGAGGTATACACACTAAACATAGTGTACCAGTATACGTTATTCAGTGACCCTTTAAAATTTGTCGAAAACTAGCAAATAAGAGTTGAGGGGTTTTGATCTGTTGATCAATTCGTACTACACGTCCCCGACTGATCAAACAAACTTCTACAAGCTGCATGTACGTGCTTACTATGATGCTGGTAAATGAGAAAAACAAGCGTGTACACATATTTGCTAAACTGATATATTTCAGTCATACATGTAGTAACGATTGGTGGTGTCGAAACCGTTGATAGGAAGTCAATTTTTATCATTAAGGTCAATGGGAATGCTAGCATGAACTTTTCACCTTTTGTGATATGTCAGCTAGTGCTACCATGAGCTTTATTTTGCAGAAAAGTTCACCATATAGTAAAACCCGCCATGGGCTTAATGGATCGGAAACTGGACCAGTTTGGGTGAACAGAATATGATATATGATGTCAATGTGCATAACTACATCGGCGCAAAACTGAATCAGATTTAAAATCGATTGAGCAGTAAAGGAGAAAAACAGTCAAAGGACAAAAAATGGATTTGAATCTATCGCAGCAGGTACTTGCAAACGGTACCAGAACGTGACCCACTTAATGGTGAGATTAGTGACATCTAAGAAAAACAGTCATGAAGTTTGATGAGATCCTCGAGCACATCGGAGGGTTTGGAAGGTGTCAGGCAAGGTTGCTGATTCTCCTTTGCATTCCTCCGATAAACGTGGCGTTACAGATGTTAGTCATCGTCTTCCTACAACAAACCCCTGACCACAGGTAAGGACATGTACATACCCCCCCCCCCCCGTATTTGGTTGTCATCTTTGCACATAATAACGCATCGTCATGCCAAACGTCTCTAGCGAAGATGGGGTCTAAATACTCTCTACCAGGGCAACAGATTGATTTTTCACAAGATATTCACATGTATGTATTTAGATAAATATACAGTCATCTAATTTTTGTAAAATTTACCTGTAATATCTGTCACCCTGGTCTGTCTGAATTGGCCAACGGGATGTACGGTACTCGTGCTTAACAGCAGGCAAAATGGATTGTTAAAACAATGTCCACTGCGTTTGTGCATGCATGTGTGTGCATGCATGTGTGTGTGTGTGTGTGTGTCTGCGTGTGTGTGTTCAGAGATTTTCTTCACTCCAAATTATCAATACTATTAATTATTTCTACTTTTAACCTCCAAATTTAGTATTTTGGCATCAACAACTGAACAGGAACTACAACACCACCTGTTGAATGCACCATTTTCTTACTCTGGAGGTCATGTTTGAAAAAAAGGAGTAGGCCCTATTAATCATAAAAATTTACCACGGGTGAATTTGGGCCGTAAACTGATGTTATACTAGATTATAACCCTATCTCTACCGGTCCACTCCTTGACTGAATGGTCACGTCTTATCACCATAATACTATCGTTACTAACCCTGGAATAAGTCGTAAAAGTGGTATCATATCTCTGATGCCCTATATAGTATGACCAAGCCACACAGCATGGCTTTATTATGTCAAAGATGTTAAAGAGATTTGGAGGCACACCCAAAGCATTTTAGTTTAGCCTGTCATCGCGCAAACCATCTTTTACGTACGTCCTTAACTTGCTACCCTGCGGTGCATTCAATGGAATGTTTAATGTTGCAGATGCCGTCTTCCAAATTTGTCCAATGACACTTATGAATTACAAGGTCTGTGGCACGAACATATGATCAATGACACAATTCCAGTGAATGGAAAAGACGGAGGGTGCGACTCCTGCAGTTACTTTGAAACTACTGGGATCTCAGGGAACAAAACAATGGTAGAATGCGACGACTGGGTTTTTGATACGTCTGTGTATTCACGGACATTTCCAATGGACGTAAGTTTCTTCTTGTCTTCGTTTTCTTCTTTCTAGTTGTTAAAAATTGGTAATCGTTGTAAGTGGATATAGCTGTAGGATTAATGTTTTAGGTGTAAAAAATGAACGAATATTTAGTAGTACATTCTGGTACAAGACACCGAGAATGATGGCTTAATAGGCAATACACTGTAGAGTAAATCTTTTCGGCATCAATTTTCAGTTCCAGTTGTTGTGTGCCGACAAACCCAAAGTGCGTTTAGGTCAGGTAGTATTTCTGAGCGGGGTGGCTGTAGGCTCTATAATAGGAGGATTATTGGCAGACTTGTGAGTATTTACTGGTATATGCGTTTAGAGCTTCGACGAATAAAACGTTTTGTTTGTCCAAGTTTACACCAAGTGTGTGAAACTGATAAATACGTGTTGCAAATGGAAAAACTACCTATTGCAACCCGCTGAAGGTTATTAAAAGGGTTCATTTCTAGTGCGGGCACAATATTGCGTCTGCTGGCATTTACAACTGTTTTGAGGACGATATATAATACTACAGGTAGATGTATTTTATTGCTTCTCCTCATCTGTTTCAGCTTGGGTCGAAAGCCGGTGTTTATCTTAGCGTGTCTGCTCAATGGGTGTGCAGGGGTGGCTGCGGCGTTCTCCCCAAACTTCGAGGCTTTTGCCTTGTTCCGATCTCTGGTTGGATTCTCTAACACGATCATTTTTAACACTGGACTTCTCTTGAGTAAGTGAAGACACATTGGCAAAGGTGGCTTGAAGATTCGGTAATCTCTATTCTATACAATCTCCATCCGGCATATGTATAATCTATTATCCAAATATATTAGATAACATCTACTGTATGTTTGTGATATCTCATTTATTAGTGTTTTGCCTAAGCTACCTAAGCTAGTAGATTTTGTTTTAAACATATTGAAACAACGTCAAAAAAAAAAAAAAAAAAAAAAAAAATGAACACAGTCCTTGCCATAATTAAAGACAAAAGGACTTCCTTTTACATGTAATTCACCGCTTAGCTGCACTCAAAAGCTCACAATTAATCTATCTGTTATAACAGAATAAATCATATTGAAGACTCACGAATTAATCACCTTCAACTTAAGCACTGGAGCTTGTCGAACCATCTAAACGAATGTTAGCAGGAATGTTACCAGAAGTAACTTTTGCATTGGGACTAACCTTGCTGACTCCTTTGGCCTATGGTATACGGGATTGGAGGTACCTTCAGCTGGCCGTATCGGTCCCATCTTTTCTTTACATATTTTACTGGTGGTGAGTGCCATTTTTTCGTAACAAGAATCTCATTTGATCATGACAAGTCCATAGCAGCGTTCTTTGCAGAGAATTGTTTTACCCATTCTTCATACATTGAAACCCACTTTTAATTTCGGATGTTTTTTTCGTGGTAAGGAACAACAAAAGTATTGTTTTATCACAAAATCTCTATTCTTAAAAATAAAAACGTTTATTTATTTATGACCTCTTGATTACATTGTTTTCATTCGATGATCGTTCTCATTTCGGATAATACCAGGAAATCCCCATAGTCTGTACTATTCTTAAATTTACATGCATAATAGTAATATTATAAATGATGTTGCCTCTGTTCTTGCAGGTTTATTCCCGAGTCTCCTCGGTGGCTTCTATCCAGAGGTCACACCAAAAGAGCCCAAAAAATTCTACAGTGGGTCGCCAAGTTAAACAAAACATCTCTCCCAGCGGCCTTGATAAGTAAGACGAGTCTGGAAGACTCACGTCACATCAGCCCACTTGAACTTCGCAAGGCTCCAAGACTTCTTTTACGTACCGTCATTGCGGTTTTTATCTGGTTGGTAACAAAAGGCACGCCAACTGTTATGGAATGTTCTAAATTTGCGTGGCATTTTTGAAAGCTCTGTGTTTTTAAATCGAAATCGCTATAAAAGGGACACTGTTGAGTTACACGTATATTAATATACGTATTGGTTAATAAGTAAAAACACGCATTTATAAACGTTAAGATATACGGTACTGCTTTTCAGAGTGCAACATTGTAAATTTTAGCCGATCATAAGCATTATTTTGAAGTTTATTATTCAGGTTCATGCACTAAATTGTCAATACGCGCCACACACATAAAAATGAAATGAGGCACAAGCAGTAGAAAATCTATAATAAGGGCCAGTTCGTTTTTACATATCTACGGCGTCTTCCTTCACCTACTTTTAGGATCGTTATTGCCTTGGCGTATTACGGTCTCACTTTCAATCCGGGCAACTTGGCTGGTGACCTATATATCAATTCCTTAATTATGGCTCTCACAGAGTTCCCTGCGTACTTCATGTGTTTCGTCATCAACAAACTAGGAAGAAGATGGCCGCATGCAATAAGTGCGATAGTCGCTGGCCTTGCTATGATTTGCACACTCTTTCTCGAACTGTACGCCGCACCAGGTACTGTAGCTATACTTTATATAGGTAGTAATTGACATTTATTGAATTAACCCTTTAATTTATATAATGAAATTTTCAAAATATTAAAAAATATGTATACAGTAATACATGTATATCCGTTTTTCATTTTCTAAGTAACTACTTTTAAATCACACAAAATGCTGTTGGTTTCAATTTTCTATGCGTTAAGTCAACATTTAGTGGAATTAGATACGCTCAGAAACATATTTATGTACTCTAACCTACCACAATTATTTTTTCATGTATGAAAGTGCAATGTAAGACTTTTATTTAACAGAGAGCAGTTATAAGAACGCTATCCAAGTGACTCTGTTCATGGTTGGCAAGACCGGAGTTTCGGCCTCATTCGCTATTATTATTATGTGGGTTGGAGAATTCTACCCGACTCCACTAAGAAACTTCGGAATGGGGATTTGCACCATGTTCGGCCGCTTAGGGGCCATGTGTGCACCTATAATAGTGGTAGGTGCCTGGTGTGTTTGTATATATGTATACAAACACATGAGTAAGGCAAAAAAAAAGTATTCTGTAGCTCGTATTCAGCGTTCGTCATGTAAAAAAATTGCCCCCACTCTTTTATTGCCATTACAGTATATTTTTAATATTTCTATATTTAGGTAGTTGTTAGTATCCCTCTTTGAATTGTTAACTGCGTATGAAAAGTTTACTATTTAGAGCGAAAAATTGAGCCCTATATGGCAATAAGCTGAATATTTTGTTTGAAACAATAATACAGATGCAGATTACCTATTTAATAGGGAGCATTTGAAGGCAATGCTAAACTTGGGAACACTGTCCCATGGATTATATTCGGAGTATTGGCGTTGCTTGCTGGAATATCTTCCCTTTTTCTACCGGAGACGTGCAATAGACAACTCCCAGAGACATTAGAAAGTGCCAATATTTTTGGAGTAAAAGAAAGGTAAAATTACAGGACAATATGCCTTTACTTAATATTCTAAACATGTTGATGGGGATGTGCTTGGTAAATATGAAATCATTTAAAAAATGTAAGTACAAGCTATTCAATTTCCTTATGATTATCGAAAAAATTTTACAAAATTATTTATTTATTAGAAAATTATTTATGCGCCAATTAAGAAGATGCTCTTGACTTATATAATTTTTATTAATTCTTCAGAAAAGGCCCGACTGCTGACATCAATGGGACGGTATTAGAACCACTATCAGAAAACAGCTAAATAAAAGCAACTGTCGACTGTCAGTGTAAAGAAAAAAGTTACAGACTGTAGTAAATTACATTTGAAAATAATAATACATTCTGCGTTGAAACATTTTAAGATAAAATAATTCCTTTTGAGGTCGCAGCCAAAACAACTGCGATCATTTATTGCCTTTAAGGTAAACATAAATGTTCAATATTTGTAGTTTTCAAGTTTGCATTTTATGCGTTTACTTTGCATTTATAGCTAAGAAATCCTTAGAAATGAAGTATTCTATTATTATTATTATTATTATTATTATTATTATTATTATTATTATACGCATTCAGTCTCGTTGAACATAATCTGTTTTTCTTTTAAATAAAACAATAAGTTTATAATAGTGAAGTGGTAATCAGGTCTGCATTACTTGCAAAAAGGTTCCAGGCTTGCAACCTGTCAGAACCAGTATTTTCGAGAATTTATTTATTAATTAATTAATTTATTTATTTATTTTTGTAGTCATGTTGTTCAGAGGCAAACGCCCATGCGATTTATATCAGTCAGGGTTCTGTAGTGTAGTGGTCATCACGTCTGCTTTACACGCAGAAGGTCCCAGGTTCGAAACCTGGCAGAACCAATACTTTTTAGAAAATCTTTCAGTAGGCATGTTATTCAGTCACAAATGGCCATGAACATTGTTAATAAATACCCTAGGTTCTTGATTCCTGTATTGCCAGCTCGATCTTGATTTCATATATAACCCATATCAGCAATACCAGGCCTACCCAACTACCAGACTCGGCACCAAAGGATCCTGAATTAACCGGTATATCGGACCACACTACCCGTTTTCAAGGTGTGTGTCAGATCGCATTTCGGAGTATCATAACCCAGAACAAATTTTGTAGCACGACTGCGGGCTCATCCACGCTCGGCTGAACAACCTTAAACTGTACTCTTACTTTAGAGTACTCTATTTTTTTTGTCTCTATGGGGATATATGGAGACTTTACGACATTCGTTTTGAATGTTTTAACCACTTTTGATAGGGCTTTTTTGTTGTATTAGATTAATGTGGCAGTCTAAGGTTCACCTAGGTGGCNAGGATCCTAGGGTGCCGAGTTGGGTAGTTGGGTAGGCCTGAATACCAGAGTAGTAAAAGATTAGTAAAAGTGACTCCCAGGTATATTTATCAAGCTAACTTTTACGTCATTCAGGGTATTAATAAATAGCCTTCTGTAGTATAGAGATGACCACGCCACGTCTGCTTCACACGCAGAAGATCCAAGTTTTGAAATCTCGCCTTCGAACCTTCGAACTTTCATAAAGAAAAAGGTCCTGTTGTGCAGTGGTCATCATGACTGCTTTATTCCCCCCCCCCCCCCCTGCTGAACAAGATGTTAAATGGATAGATAGTGGTGGTAGAAATACAACTTGAAACAGCCCAGTGGCGGAGTTAGAGGGGGGGGGTCAAGGGGTCCTGACCCCCCCCCCCCTTCGATTTTTGGTTCCCTCTTGAAATTATAATTTTGACTAGCTGAATCATAATCCTAAACCGTATCAAATGGCACCGTTCACCTTCTAAAATACCAAAAAGTTTCGGGGTCCTTCAGCGGTCCCCGAACCCCACACCAAGTGGGGGGGGGGGGGGGGGGGGGAGGCCGGCTATGAATCCGCGGACCCCCCAACCTTCAAATAATCCTGGATCCGCTCCTGCAGCAAACAGATATCCAACCACATATGTACCTTTAAGAGAATCTTAGACACACGTGCTACTCGAAGTGATTCTCTGCGCTTTCGTGTTTTTGTTAAGATGAGATATGAGGCAAAATAATGCTCTCGATTACTGGTGTCGGGATCAAAAAGTTAGATCTTTTTAAACTTCCCGTGATATCATGGAAACTATTTTTCTCTATAAACAGCTGGCAAAACGAATGTTAAAACCCAAAGGAAAAATAATCTTTTTGTTTTTGTTCTAGTAAATTACAATGACGCAAGCAAATTGCTGCCGCGTTTATTTTTATCACGAGTGTCGGATAGCAGCAAGCATTTGTCTATGATAACTTAGTTTTACTAGTAATCGAATATATTCGCCCATATATTTGTTTTTCTCTCACGTCGCCTTGTCATTTTTCTAGGTGAAGTATCTATAAATTCTGCGTACGTGCGACGCGTGGATAGAAAAAGTAGAAACCAAATGCTTTCATCTACAATGTTTGGATGCAACGGGAGATAAAAGACTCTATTTCACTTTATTCACCCTAGTGTGGATGGTTTTGTTTACTCTTCCATTGTAATAACTTAGCCGCTTTTCATCTAAATATCGGTGAAGTGTTTTGTACAGTTATCAAACAGGAGGAAATATTAAGAGTGAAACTAATGGTTTTGATAAGACTACCAGTTTTCACGACACGACGACATGTTTTTTTTTTTCATTTCTTTTTAAACAAGCATTTGAACGCGTTCGTTTTCCCTAAATACTCGCTGGTGTATCTCAAATCCCTTTTTACCGGAAAGCACCGGATCACAACTTTGTCATTAATTTTGCAGAAAAAAATGTTAGAAAAGTTAAAATTCTTTAAAACATCTGGCCTTTCATCAAATATCAAAGACAGCGCTTTGAAGTAAAATAATTTATTTTCGGTGACTGACACCGATAATTACCTACACAACAACAACACAAAGGCAAATCGAGAAATTGTCCGCATAATGGACAATTTGGATTTAATTGATATTTGGCGAGAAATGAATGCGGAATGTAGAAAATTTACGTGGTTTGGACAAAATAATAAAAAAAGCAGACTTGACTATTTTTTTATTTCTTCTGATTTACAAGGCATAGCTGTAGCTGCCGGCATGGATTTTGCTTATAAATCAGACCACTCTCCAGTAAACATGGAGATTAATTTTATTCAAATTGAGAGAGGAAGGGGGACGTGGAAATTCAACAACAGTCTGTTAGGCGATTGGAACTATGTAGACTTAATTAAAAAAACCATAAAAGAAGTGATAAAACAGTACAAGACAGACGATAATGAAAACGTGGAAATGGCAGAATTTAACATTGGCGATTGTTTGCTATGGGAAACTCTAAAATTTACTATTAGAGGTGAAACGATTAAGTACGCATCCTTTAAAAAGAGAGAAGCAGAAAAAGAAGAAAAAATAATAAGTAAAGAATTGAACAAATTATATGACAACAGGGATGAAGAGACCATTCGGTTGGCAATTCAGGGAAAAGAAGATGAATTAAAAAGTATACCTGTACGTGACAAAAAAATTGAGGGGACTATTTTAAGGGCGAAAGCAAAATGGAAAGTAGAAGGAGAAAAAAAGCTCAAAATATTTTCTTAATTTAGAAAAAAAGGAATTATTGTGAGAAATCGATATTTAAATTGAGGGGGAAGGACGGAAAAGAAATAACAAATATCCACGATATCTTAAAAGAACAGAAAAAGCTACTATAGCGATATATACCAATCGAAAGGCACTCTAATGGACAATGTCCATAGTAATACCTATTTCAATGACGAAAATCCATTTATTAAAAAACTTCCAGAAGAAAAAAAGATTACTATGAATGGCTCTCTATCCCAAACAGAATGTCTTAAAGTACTTTAGAAAATGAAGAATGGAAAATCTCCTGGTTTAGATGGCTATACAGTTGAATTTTATAAATTCTTTTGGAGTGATCTCAAAGTGCCTCTGCTTAGGTCATTGAATAAATCCTTTGAAGCACAGTCAATGTCTACATCTCAACGCCAAGGTATAATCAAGTGTATACCCAAGGAGGGGAAGGAGAAAGTATTCCTTAAGAACTGGCGTCCAATTACTTTGCTGGATGTTGATTATAAACTTGCTTCTGCTTGCATAGCAGCCAGAATCCAATTACTCATTGACGATATCATCTCTTTTACACAGGCAGGATTTGTAAAAGGTCGCTATATAGGCGAATGTTCCAGAACTATTCAAGACATTATCCATAAAACAGAAAAAGATGACATTTCAGGAATTATATCAATGCTAGATTTCGAAAAAGCTTTTGATTCTGTAGAGTGGCCATATATATTTTGCAGTGTCTTAAATATTTTAATTTTAGTGAAGATATTCAAAACTGGTTCAAAACCCTTTACTCTAATGTTTCCACTGCAGTGGAAAATAATGGACATCTAGCAGAATTCCTTAACGTCACTCGGGGTGTTAGACAGGGTGATCCTCTGTCCCCTTACATATTTATTATCTGCATAGAATTCCTCAGCGCTGCGGTCAAATTTGATCCAAATATAAAAGGGATCTTACTGAATAACTCATTACGTCATTAAACAATACGCAGATGACTTCACGCTCCATCTAGCAGATGAAAAAGAGTCATTGAATGCGGCTCTGGATATGCTAGAATTGTTCTCTCAGTGTTCAGGATTGAAAATAAATTTTGAAAAGAGCCAGGCTGTTTGAATTGGAGCAAAATGCGGCTGTGGTGAGGAGTATCAAACCTCTAAAAGCATATTTTGGAATCATAGTGGAAAATTTAAACTACTGGGTATTTGGTATAACCTGGCAAAGGATGACATTTATGAAGAAAATTTTAGAGAAAAATTATATTCCATAAAATCGTTGTTAATGATTGGTCGTTCCGCCATATTTCACTCCTAGGTAAAGTGACTATTTTAAAATCCCTGGCACTCCCTACCATTATCCATTATATTATATTAAATGATCATTCTAAGATTAATAAAAAGATAATCTTCCAGAAACCTTGGTTTCGAAAAGGAGTGCTTTACGTTAATGACCTGATTGATAATACTGGTTTAGTAAAAAGTCTGGACGTTTTTTGTGATGAATATAATATACATTGTAATTTCCTTGACTATCAAGGCGTCATCAGCGCTTTACATTCTGCCTGGAAAATTGCCATAAGGGTGTATCAATAGTACCTTGCAGCAATAACAAATAAAAACCTCGTATCATTAAAATCGAAAAACAAATTAACGAAACTTTTTTACCCGAAATTTATTTAAGATAAGGAAGCAATACCTTTTAACATCCATGACAAGTGGAGGGAAAAGCTGAACATTGATTTTCCAATTGAAAAGTGGAAGTTAGTTCATGCTTTGCCCTTTCGAGAAACAAATTATCATAAACTACTCACATTGCAATTTAGAATTTTACGTAGAATTTATTTCACGAATTCGATGCTTTTTAAATATATGTTAGAACATGAGCGATACACTTTCTGTAATGACCCAAAAGAAACTTTATTGCATCTTTTCTGGGATTGTACACATGTTCAAGCTATTTGGACTTGTCTCATTCAGGACCTACGTACGCAGTACTCTGTTGAATTACAACAGCAACCTTGCCTGTTTATATTTGGAATCCTGGACGATAGCCCTCTCTTAGGTATTTATCTACTACTTCTTCATATAAAGAAATATTTCACTCTATGTAGACAGAATAAAATTACACTTCTCTGGAATGCCTGCAAAAAGTATTATGAAAAGCAAAAGAAAATAGATTTTCGGTCTTTATACCTACTGGGTCCTCAAAAGGCAGTTGATCTAGAAAAAAATGGGAAAATATAGAAAAAATATTTATATGAATAGAAAAGAACATTTGTCATAGCCTAGGCCTACCAAGATTCTTTTATTTTAAAAATTCTACATGTATTTTTAATCCACATTTGTAAGAACTTTGTTTGCAGTGTGTGAATGGTGTGTGGAAGGTGTCTTCGTCTCTCATTGTGTTGTAAATGTCCTGTATTAATTTTCGTGAATAAAAATAAATAAATAAATAAATAAATAAATAAATAAACTTAATTTATTTTTTTCAACCTATTACAAAACGCAAATGGGATATTTTTGAGGGATCAGCATTTATAATTCAAAACAAGTAGATTTTATGATTGTTGTTCGGCTAGCGATATAAAAACACTTTTGAAGATTTTATTCCTCTATTATTCGTAATAACTTAAGACGTGAAGAAGTAGCGTTCTTCTTTCATAGATTTCTTCATTTCACAGCGTATGCAATAAAGCTTTGTCCAGAGCCACACTTTACTCACTCAGGTTTTTATGCGCGCAATCCTTAAGATAGACATAACAAGTCTAGTTACAAATAAAAATCTATACAAACCAGTGTAACGAAACTGAGGGTCTGTGTAACAGAAAGTCCGCCCTCCATTTAGTTAGTATGGTTAGGGTTAGCTTGATCTAATTTTGTCAAATTCTAGGGCGAGGCTTACCTGTACAAATGATTTGGAAGCGGACTTTCTGTCATGGGGGACTCTCTGTCACGTTACACCGGTCAATGTTCATGCACGTACACGTGCAAGAAAAAGCACGTACTGCCTGCAATTTTCTTTCCTCTTTCGCTTTAATGTCACTTGCAATAACTGCAATCTTCGTGTCAGTTTTTCTTAGACGAAATCTCCATCAAAAGTTCGCCAAATACATAAAATATCACGCATGCTGTGGCACGTATACAGAAGACAACGGCATTGATCCCCGCTGTGTATCCAAAGGCACGGGAGCTACACGGTTCACCGAAAAGCAACGGCATAAGTTCATTGCTTTGTAAGCGTCACGGAAAGTCTGGTTCATTAAAGCGTATACTATCGGGTTGACTATGGAAGATGAGTAGATGAGAACATAAGTCCCCTCCGTGTAGAACGAATTCAATGCACCGTCCACTTGAAGAACATTCACAATAAAGCATGGCGTAATGGCCACAACAAATGACAAATAACATATTCCAAACATCTGGGCAATTTTCGTGTTTTGTCGCATCTTCTGGGCTTGATGGCGCACGGCCTGGTTTATATTTATCATCCGTCTTCTGTTCAGGAACACACTGACGCTGATATGGGTGAAGCAGTAGATCATAGAAAAGTTTGGAAAGCATATGAAGACGACCAAAAATGTGTTCCTGAATTCTGCACTTTCTGACTGGAGTATAGTACACCTCTGTCTGTAAGGGTCAAAGCCAGCTTTGCCAACCGTTCCGGTCAGTACAGGAAGGAGAATCAACAGGGGCAGTACGTAGCACGTTATGGAACAAACCACGTAGACGATCTTCTCCGTGGTTGGATTGCACAGTGTTATATGCTTCACAAACCACACTATGTATATGTAGCGCTGCACGGTAATGCACATTAGGCACAAACCTGACGACGCAAGAACGAGGAACGTAGCGCACCCGATGAAGGCGCAAAACGGCTCCCCAAGGTTCCATTTTCCGGTGAACCAGCCGTAACAGTCAAAAGCTAAAAATAAAGAATGCACAGGGCCGTTGTTGATGCTTAGGTTAACAATTAGAATATACGTCGGCGAAGCGCGCATCTGCTTACTGTGAACGATGGCAAAAATCACGAACACGTTGGTAGATAACCCTAACAAAAGGATGATGATGCCCACGACACCCCATAGGACCTGTGATCGAACTGCATCCTCGGCGCCGTTTGGTATCGATGTATTTAATTCTTCTAATGTTTTATTCATTGCTATTTCAACAAACGTGGTGTCCATCATTTAATGTGTCACGCCGGCTGTAGGTATGAGCGTAGAGCTGGAGAGATACTGTTGCGCAATTCTTCAGGCAGCGGAACGCGCTGTGATGGCTTATCTTTTGCCTCTGTTGTCTTTTATACAGCGTCAGTTCAGAAGGCTGTCGATTAAAGCATGCAGTAGGCATTAGACGCTTGGAGAAGAAAAATTAACTTCCTGGGAAATTTAGCACTTTTTGTTATGACCAAGGTATGCACTATTTTAAACTGTTGGGGGAACTGTTGTAAAAACCTTTTTTTCAGTTTTAAATTTCCAATTTCAATTTACTATTTTCTACCGTCTAGAGTGAAATTCACCGGTCGCTATCCCCATCAGACGAGTTTCTGAAAAATGCCTCCTCTGGTTTTCAACGATCTCGTATAATCATTAAATTTTTTTTGTATTCTATTCAACGTCAAGAAGATACGTGTTAATCTGCTAATCTGATTGCATTCATCTAAAGTCCCCGCGAAGTTGGATCGATCTTCGTAGAACGCTAGGGCGTTAGTCCGCGAATTTGAATTTCAGAACAAGTTGATCCGCGGACTAACAGATCGCGCGTGGGCAGCGGAAGGGATAAAGTGTCATATTTGATCCGCGTTTCTGTTAGTCCGCGGATCAACTTGTTATGAATGTGCCCATAATCTCACTGGGAGTGAGCCCTAAGCTAACAGTGTACGCTAGACTTCAAATACATTTTTATCCAAGGCAGAGGTGCTTCTGTGAGACTTGTGTTAGTTAATTATGTAAGTGAACGGTTCACTCAGACTATTAATCAAAACATATATACGCCCTTGCCAGCTTTAAACTACAAAATCCGGTTGGGGACGTGATATCTGTCAGTGTAACTTACAACCCGGGCACGATTTGGTTAAGAGCCAACGTGTGGTACGATATAGACAGACATTTGAACACGCTGCCAAGATGGAAGAGGCTCCTTTCATTCTGTGCGCCAGACTTGCAGTCATTGTGCTCGTATATCTGTGCACCTTTACTCTGCAATGTGAGGCCCAGTACTGTCGGTGCGGTGAGTACCATTAGGAAATACGGAATGTAATATGTGCTACATGAATATCTGACGCTCATTGTAAGCCTTCACTGTACAACCTTTATAGCAGAGCAGTTCTGATATTCAATGTATGTAAGGTGGCGACTCCCCGAGAATATAGGGGAGACCGGGCTATTTGGCCGGGTAGGGGCAAGTTGGCACCCTATACTTAAATGCAGTTAGTATCCCATGTAAACGTTATAAAATACTTTTTTTACACATTTTACTTTATTAAATTGATTTTTGAGAGTCTTTGATGAATTTAAGTAGTTCAAATGAGGCAAAATATTGAGATTTCTATGCGTTACGTTGTATTTGTTGTAAGAACCAAAATATCTATTAATTAAACTTGTTTTGTTTTAATTAAGAATAAGCTAATAATGGTATTAAGCAGGTTTTTAATGAATGAAAACGAATAATAAATTTTCGTTTTAAAAGAATCTAACAAAGTCGGTCTTAAACTGGTAATTATTTAACAAACCATTGACTTTGCTTTAACAATGGTCTATTGCGTGCAAAGGATTGTGGTCTATATAGAGGGTCCAACTTGCCCCGAGCCAAGGGGGGCAACTAGCCCCAGGTGCACAATTTTTAGATCTAAGGATTGCCATTCATGGTGCAAGACTGGACTACGTTATAAGTATACTTTATTCCATCAAAAGCCTAAGAAAAAATATTTTTTAATCTCTTAAACAAAATTACTTTTAAGTGCAAAAATCGTTTATTGAACTCACCGCTTAAGTATAACTTTTTAACGCCCGACACTTCCTTACCATTGTAGGCTACGATCATTTTACAAGATTATGTGGCCAATTTTTTCTACCTCGTAGTTACTTTTTCAAAAATTGACGGGGGTTCCAACTTAGCCCAGGGTCCAACTAGCCCCGGTCTCCCCTACATTTGTGTGTGTGTGTGTGTGTGTGTGTGTGTGTGTGTGTGTGTGTAAAAAATAGTGAAAAGAAATTTGGATTTTAAAATGCACTAAAATGCAACATATGATTAAAGGACGCCCTGTTGTATTCATGACCTCCATCAGTTGCAGTAATAATTAGTATCTTGTTTTAGTGTGTGCTCTACTATTAACATCCTGTTTTAGTGTGTGGAGATATTCGCCTGATGACCTCCTGCAAGGATTATCTCAGTTCGAACATGAATTATGGAAGCGGATATTACTGGATATATCCAGACAGTGGTGACATCTCCAAGCCGATACAAGTGTGTAAGTTCTCATCTGAAATACAGCTATATTTACGTAATGACAACTAGGAGTGGAAGTCCGGGGTCCGATGTGATTATTCAGGTTAGGGTTAGTCGTAGTATTAAAGTGAAGAATAACGACAACGATCTGGAGCTTTCGAACGTTAATTAACCGAGTACCTTTTCCCACAATTTCACAAGTATTTAAACTCTACATCTGCTTACTGATCATGCATTAACTTGTTTTCTTTCCATTGCCTTTGCGTGATTACAAAATATTTTCCATTAGCATGTTGCCAATCACCATGCAACATTTCCTTATTAGGTAATCCCTAAGAGACTTGTTTTCAATTAAAGATATCTGAAATATTATTTGTATTACTCATGCTTGGACCTTATCCAAAACTCAGTTATCATGTGATAAAAAGATGATCAAAATTAAAATATGTTATGGAATTAACCAATCACATAAACTGTTACTGACTTTGACCTTTTCCATCTTTTTCTGACACTAAAAACATATTCTACACTTGTTGACTCTTGATGAAACTTAACTTACACTCAATAACTCCCTATCCTTTTACTCTTTTGACTCCGTTTTAATTGTCATCTGTAATTAGTTAAAGTGTAAGTCATTCGCTTTACAACAGTAGTATTGGGGTTAGATTCAGAAACCTTCGCCGGGCATCCAAAACACGTACCTTAAGGATAGGTAAAACCAACTCCAGAAGAAAAGTGTCATTTCTAGATGAGAGGTGTGCATAATTTTTACTATATTCATGTAGGCGCTATAAATTTGCTACGTACGCTGTTGTCGTCCGGCCCCACTTGCGTAACTGACAGCAGGGCTGCATCCATGGCTTTCCCTTTTATGGAAAAGGGGGGAGTCTATGAGGGCAGTCAGAATAAGTCGATTCGCGGACTAACAAATCCGCGGACTAAATATGGTCGACTCACTTAAAAGTAGTGCCGACTAATTTCCTGACGGCCTCCCCGCCTCCACACGCACCGTCGCTGCAGGGACTTTGCAATTTAACGTCGGAACCGAGATTCAATCCGTTTAATGGTGCGTGTGGAGGCGGGGAGACCGTCAAGGGGTTGCTTTTAAGTGAGGTCGGCCTTTTTTAGTCTTCGGATCATCTGTTCTGAATACGCTCTATGCTAATTGTAACAAAAGACGCATATTTCATAAATGTGTTTATTCCATTCTCTCTCTCTCTCTCTGATGACTCACTCCTTCCGCACACCCAAAGACACGTTTCCCCAGAAACTGATGTCCATGTGCTAATCGCAGCGAAGAGGGTGCCCTTCCTTACATTCTATCTTGCATATGCTAAATGTTGCGTGCAAAATGTCTATACAACTATCTGATATGAAGAGCATGTAAAGACTCCTAATCATTTTCCGTAATGAATCCCTTACCATAGTAATGATAGTTATAAACCACTAAATGTCAGTCTTACTATCTCATGATTAGCAATTATTCAACTGCGGTGTTTAAGTCAAAGCGTTATGCATCCACTGGTACGAAGTTTAAATGACAAAAATATGTCCAAACTTGCTTGACAAAGAAGGCAACTTCAGTTACTATTTAATGCTGACAAAACAAAATTTTAATAAAACTTCCAGGAAAAAAATTCCTAACAAGGTGAACCTTTTGTTGGTACACACGGAGGCGCACAGATAAAATTCAGCGGAGTCGCCTGATTTCCGAAGGCGAATATGTTTAATACATTGACCCATGCAAGGAGAAATGGCGAACAAGCCACAGTTGCGGGCGCGCGTCTCCCCCTTGATCTAGCTTCACCCATGGACAGAAATTCCGGTCCCATGGAACTTCCCGTTTCGCCCTTACTTTTTCTAGACGGATGTGCCATCATCCGAGTTCCCTGATCTTCCTCAGTTGCTCCATATAATTTGGATACTGCGAGAAAAGATACAACGTACAGAGAGTGAACAGAATGTTGTACATTGAATAATAAAGTGATTGAGTATAAACGTGTCACTGTACATGGCATCTCTGTGTGTGGTCTGTCCATTTTGGAAAATGACTAGGTCGAAAAGGTTGTTTCGTTTAGGGTTGCTTAAATTGACGTGTATGTTTATGATATTAAAAGAACGGTAGTAGACAGACTTCTTATCTAGCCAATTCTGTAGTGTAGTTCTACTTTGTTTTTTTAATACCCGTCATGATTTAATATTAAAAGAAGCAACATTCTTAAAAGAAGCAACATTCTGAGTATCAAAACAGTTTAGGCCTACTGTACTTGATGATTCCATTTCTACATGGGCATGTACAACATAATATGTAGTCCACGCCTAAAGCTAATTCTCTATTTCTAAAGATAGTAATCTGAACGCTAAGAACAGTGCTGTTCTCATTCGTACCTTCCCGTTTTCGTCTTCCTGGTGGCACCACAAAACCAGGCGTAATCGGCAACGTTCCAGTTCCCACGAGGTTGCACGTGTCCTCTACGCATGCCCATATAGGCACTTCGAAGTTGTATTCCACCGTCAGTTGACACAGAAACAACACGATAGGCTAGAAGTGGAGCATAGACGAAATAAATGAAATACGTGTGGATAACAAAACACAGGCATAGTAAATCTATTTGTGGTGATAATACAACATTAAGAAGCCGGAATATGTGTTTATTACAAGATATAAGCCAAATAATTGATGTGCTGATAAAACAACATTAAGAAGTTAATTGTGATATAGATTGATAACAAAACATAGAAAGAGAATATAAGTGGATAAACTGTATGTTGATAATTGAACATAAAACCTGTAGGCAAAGTGGTTGAACTAAGCTTTGATAATATGCATAAAACAGGAGGATAGAGCTCAATGCTTGCGCACCTTGCAAGGAACAATGAAGAAAGGCAAATAAACTGTTCAACAGTTATGTGCGGATGTGCGTATGTGCGTGCGTGCGAGCGAGCGAGCGTGTGTATGTAGGCAAAGTGATGGCAATTCCGCTGACATACCGTAAAGAATTCAGTAAAAGCAGTCGGCAATCCTAGACTGTTTATACCAATACAGTCAAATGTCTTCGTATTGCAGTCTTGGTCATTTTGGCAGGCCAATCCTTGAACTGCAATGATATGCACATCAGTAAACTTTGTGAAATCAATAAACAAATATTAACTCTGATGTTCACAATCACATATGTTCTATTACCAACTGCACGTTTAAAGGGGAGAAAGTAGGTAAAAAATATTCATTCTTTAAGCGGTCGCGACCAGCGTTACAGAAAAGCCAAGATTACATTTAAAATACAATGCCCGTACGGTGGCCGTATACTGCCCTAATACCCTTTTCGTACGGCGTCTGAGCGGAGGTAGACGGTGGCCGTGCGAAATCGCACGTTATCGTACGGATTTAAGGCCATGCATTGCAGACATACACGGCGTAGCCTGTAGCTCGTTATGATTCCAAAAAAGAAAAAAAAAACGTACTGCCAATTTCATCGCACGCCGCCTGTATAAATGTAATCTAGGCTTTAAAATCGCGTCTATGTAATTACTCAAGATTCTTATATAGATACTCTGTCGCACGCGACACAAACCCCTTAATCCCCAGCATGGAGCAAGGGGCGCCCAGGCACCGTTTTCATTATTATAGTGATTTAATGTACATGTTCTTTTGTGTTTAAGTAATTGCCAATGTCTGTCACTGATATAGGAGGTACCTGTCTGATATTGGTTGGGTGCACCGCACAAGAGGAAGATAGTTCTGTTTGATTGCATGGAAGATACCATACAGTAAACAATGTTGAGGGCTGCCTATTATCAAATTCATACATTGGTAGTTAACAGATGGCTGGACAAATTTCTTCATATTTTCATATGTTTTACGTTTTTACAATTTAAAAAAATTAGCAAGGTATACCATGTCAAAAACTGTTGACAATAAACTGTTTTTGCATGTTGCATAACTCTCATAGTAAAAGATGGTACGCAGGGGCAGATCCAGAGACATTTTTCTGACAGTGTCCCAAATTATCTTTGTTAATCCATCCTCCATTTTTGACCGTCTTCCGACAGAAATAATTAAATACCCATCCATGTAAACTTTAAAATCTGACCGTCTTCCGGAAGACCCAGAGGACGGCCTCAATCCGCCCCTGGTACTACGTGTAATGGTATGAAGAGGATAAGAGGCTTGTAAATCGCAAAAATCACTTACTGCTCTGGCACCTTCCGTCCGGCAATGGCACCGCCGTGAGCGGGCAGAGACACGCCTGGTAAGAGCCGACTATTATCGGAAACAGCAGCGGGTTCCGTACACATCGGGTGTTATCGCCACATGCCAGTGGTGGGAAAATATTGTCCGCTCCCAGTGAAGTTGAACAAGGCCGGAACAGGCTTGTGCTGTTATCGTTTGTGTACCCTGGAGAAAATAAGGAATCATCTATACAGAAAATGACTTTTGTCTATTAAATATAACTTCTTTATTTTGAAAAGCGTGTAACAAAATGTCGTGATTTCAGACTCCAAAAACGTGCTAAAACGTGTTCTAAAAGCTATAAAGATAACACCGTGACGTGGCGCTTGGATATTTTTCACATTTATACAACGTCCGACATCCATGTGAGAATGTGAGAGTGTCGTCCCAACCCACCAGCTTGTAAAGTTCATGGGGACTCTCGCTGAATGTATTCTGATTAACAGATTAATACGATTCCTCTTGTTTTCAATAGACTCGTATGATCGCCAGCTTCTCTGTATTCTACTCAACCCCAGGAGGAGGCGTGTTAGTCTGTTAACCTGATTGCATTCAGCGAGAGTCCTCGTGGCATTAGTGCACACCGGCTATTGCGACCCCACTCATTCTGAACGCCCCCATAGTTACAGTGGAGCCAATTTGCTTACTGCGTTGTAACGTTTGAGGAAGGCCTGCCTGTACATTTCTACAGTTAACAACTACAACTTATTATTTGTACATTTAATATTCAGTTGCCAGAATAAGATCATTAATAGGCCTATAGTTGTGATGTCAAAAAACAGCAAAATGTTAAATTCTGTGAGTTGTCTCTAGAAATTGAAAAGCTTAACGACCCGTTTAACTTTCACGTTTTTAAGACACAAAATGGTTGGCAAAATTGTTCTGTTTCCTGCAGATCCAGATATCTATATCTACTTAATGAAGTACAGGCAAAGATAGTATACCTATAAGTGGCGGAATGTCTGCCATACTTCACCTTTAAATGATGGTCTGAAAAAAAAAGAAGAAAAAAATCACAAATCGCTTTAATGTAAATCGAATTAAACCAAATAAACGCGTCCAGTGACAAAACGAACATACATGAAAACATGGTAATGCTAATCTTATTATATCTCTTTTTTTAAACCAGGTGTTTTTTTTTACATATACAGTACTTGTATTTCACATGTACAACACTGGTGAATTGTCACAATTATCTTGTATCTACCTGCGAGAATATCTGTGCAGGCGAATACTTCGTGGTCCCTTCAAGCCCCTTAACGTCCACTGTAGTCGTTCTGGACGAGTAATACACTCTCTTAAATGGCAGATCTTCCTTTACCGGTAAATGTAGAGCCGCCCCTTTACTTGATTGGATGCGACGTATTTAAGAGGAAATTAACAAATATATATATATATATATATATATATATATATATATATATATATATATATATATATATATATATATATATATATATATATATATATATATATATATATATATAATATTTAAATAAGCCATACACACATATATATGCTCGTCAATGTCAACGACCCGGCTAAGATTCCCTTTTAAAATATATGATGCGGAGATATCTTGTATGGCTAATTGTAGAGCGTGCATTTAATTGCTGATAATCTCGAATAATTTAATGTCGTGAATATAGCAATTTGTATATAGATAGGAAGCATCTTTATCATTTTAAATAGTAATTGCTTGGTCATAGCATGGTCTAAATTACGAATTATGTCCAAGGTTATGGTTATGCTTATGATAAACCGCGGGATGCCAGCCTGGCCAACTTGTTACCTTGGCAGCAGTATTTTAATCAAAGCGTTTCATCTTCGAATGGTCGAGAGAAACCCTAGACTCATTCTTAAGCATTTTATTTCCGTAAGTTTATGTTTACTTTTGATTTATTATCATGTATTTTATTTTCACATCAACCTTGCCAGTCCAGAGGACCTGTGACATCGGAAAATCTTGCAGATCCTCTAGCATTTCTAGCGGACATGAACAGTCGGTCACGCAGTTTCCCCATGTCTGCAGCCTTGTACATGTACCAGTATAGTTATCGATGCTAATTTACCTTAGCTCATTCTAATTTGGCGGAACTGGATAGTTTTTTATATTGATAATCAAGCGAACAATCAGAAAAGGTTTTCGTAAATAGGGAAGTCAGCAATTTTTTTCAATGAATATTTAGCACTGTTTATAATAATAATACATTTATATTTATTTAGTTTGTGATCAAGAAACAGATGGCGGAGGATGGCTCAGGTAAAAAAATCTAGAGCGATAGTTGATATTCAAGGTGGTTGAACTCCCAAGACTGAAGTGCGGAACCCTCGTGCTTTCAAAAAAAAAAAAATATAAATAAATAAATAGATAATTAAATAAATAAATAAATAAATATAAAAAATAGCAAATCCGAGTATGGAAGTAAAAAGAGCATAACTGTGTCTCAACTTTAATCTTATCACATATGAAGGACTTCAGATTAATTTTTTTAAAATGCACGTCAACATTTTGATTGGAACTTGACCTCGATACATGCAGCTCGATCCATATCTTGTTCATGTTTATACACAATCTTTCTCGTTAACGTGATTTCCAGATTATATTACAAATCTGGTCCTGCAACCTGCCATAGCTATCCAGGGTTTAAATGGACAAGCGACCTTGTGAATAGTATGGGAGTTTACCAGGGAATATCTCAGCTGGCCGTTAGCGATTCCGAGCAGACTGTTAACAGCAGTGGCTCTTGGGTGCTGGAGAACGCCAAATGGAATAGATTTGTGGCATGTGATGCCAACAAAGTATGTAGCCAGGGAGCACTGGAGGCACAGTACGGTTTCAGTGGCGATGACGTCATTGCGAATCTTGCTAACTGTCGTACACCTACCAATTCTTCCTGGTCACAGGCGTATACTGGTAAGCATAGGTTACTGTGTGCTTTTTAATAGTGTAGACTGCATGTACGCGAAAGGGTTAACAGTCAATAAATAGAAATATACCTTTCTTCGTAGACCATGCAGTTTTGTCTTTGTACAGTGTTATGGTGGATCCTAAGATGAAACTGAGGCCCCGTTAAACCATCAAACAGAGTAAGCCCACCATTCTCATCGTACAGGTTTGGGTTAGCATGACGTAAACGGGTAATGACCAATTTTTTTTCACAGGAGGTTACGCGTTTGTGGCTGGTCGCCTGGCCACTTTTGGGACATGGAGCCGAATGCATTATGGTTGTAACACCTGGGTGAACGTAGGGGACAACACGACGTTTCGCTTTGGGGGTGGTGTGCACCACAGTGGAGAATTCGTCCACACCTCGTGCAATGATTACTATCCTAATCAGAGGAACAGCGTGACTTCCAAATGGTAAGAATGGCGAGTGTTTTCCCGTCTTTTTTGTCTGTTTTGTTTTGTTTTTGCAAGCTTACTTTAGTTTCCTCCCATCTCCAATTAGACTCCATTAGAGCCAGAACCTTATGAATTTTATAATGTCTTCTGATGGTGTCATCTACATACATACATACATACATACATACATACATACATGATTTCTTACTTTGGTGTGCTTATAATTTTCGTATAATTCAAGCAGGGGTTTTAGCATAAAATTAAAATATCTCTTTCCAGGAATACTGACAACGTGCGTGTCATCTGGATTCGTTAGCAGAGGTGAACGTGGGCACGATACACGGAAGTGTTTGATGTAATCTGCTCTAAAGATATATCTGATGCATTTTTCAAGACTGCCATTTAAAATTTACTTTAAATCAATTTTCCTATTCCTAAGATATGGATAAAATCCGGGCTTGTAAAATAGGAAAATAAACATGATTGTGTCTTAATCTTGAGCATTGCAGTTGAAATGTCATCCATTACACAACCCACCTTTGCCTACTCCTCCGGTCCATCTCGTGGGCCATCGGCTCTCTAAATCGTCCCAAAAATTTCTAGTAAACATCATCTTTGTTCGATTTAATCCACAATTTAATCAATTTAATCTACTGTCATTTTAAACTTTAATCGCCTTGGGTCAAAGAGCTCATTCACATTGACAACATCGATCTCCGTAGATCGATCCAACTCCTCGAGGACTCTCGCTGAATGCAAGCAGTTAAACAGATTAACACGCCTCCCCTTGTTTCCAACATACTCGTATAATCAACAGCTTTTTTGTGTTCTACTCAACGCCAGGAGTAGGCATGTCATTCAGTTGATCTCCTTTGGCGATTTCTGAAAAAAAAAAACACCAATGCCCCCATCTTGAAATTAGAATTTTGACCAGGTGAACCATAATTCTAAACCGTACCAAATGGCACCGTTCGCCTTCTAAAGTACCATTTTTTTTTTTTTTTTGGAGAGGGGGGGGGAGGGGTCTTAATCGGGAAAGGGAGGGTCGGCTTGGCATCCGCTGACCCCCCTTCAAATAGTCTTGGACCCGCCCCTGATCTGATTGCAAACAGCAAGGTCTCTGCGGAATTGGATTTACTTACGAAAACAGAGAGTATCCATCCATGGTAATGAGTCCTAACATGAAAAAGACAGCACCGAATAACCAAACAGTTTACACGGATGAATTAATTAAGCCTACAGGTTGGTAAGCAGTGGGCGGTCTGAAAATTGCATCCACAGCGTAACAATAACCGCGGTTTATGTAAAACCAATTTGTTTCTTTTAGTATAATTTTCTTTTCCCGATAGTAAATAATTTATTACTTCCGGATATTTATTTGCTTCGTTAATTTTGGTTATTTGATTATCTCATTTTACGTAGGCCTACCCACTTTCTTTTTGTGATAAAAAGACATTTTTCAAATTTGCGTCTCCTAATTGCTAAAGACTGTCCCAATTCTGCACTGCAGTACCTTGCAAGCCCTCTCAACATCTTTCTTACACTGCCATCTAATACATCTTAGACACGCTTTAAAATAAATTCACAAACAACAGAGATATTTTCTGACAGTCTTCCAAATTATCAATGTTGTTCCATTCTCAATTTTTTGACCGTCTTCCGACAGGAAAAATCAGATACCCGTCAGTATAAACTTGAAAATCTGACAGTCTTCCGGAAGACCCAGAAGACGGCCTCAATCCGCCCCTGACAAAGGCTGCACTAACATTAATTTCAAATGCAAATCGAAGAAAAATTTCGCAACCATCGCATCCATCCATTGCACCCGTGGTCTAACTAGCACATTCTTGTCTAAAATGCGACCTCAAGGAAAAGAAACCTCATGTATACCCACATCGGTTTGTAGCGAACAAATGAACGTCTTATCCATAGTTGTGCTCGGATTTTGGTCGATTGAAAGTTGTTATTTTGTGCCTCAACCAAAAACCAACCGGCAGCCATAAATCTCAAAGGGGGAGGGGGGTCTAAAATGTTGACTTTTTACCCCTTTAGTTGATTCAACTTGACTAACGGCATAAAATTTAAGTTTGATACAGAGCGGACCTTTACAGACCAAAAAGGTAGTTCTATCCAACCCCTTCCCCCCCTTTCACACATGGCCTTGGGACCTTACCATACTGTAGATCATAGAAGTAGTATGGCCTGTGCATATTATTACACAGTACCAGTAGTATGCATGAGAATTTTTAAATAGAAAATCAATCGCTGTTTTGGAGTAATTATCCATGTGAAATGCCCAGATAAGCGACCTGATAGTATTGTGGACCAAACCCTTTCCTTCGATTAGATTTTAGTGTAACACAAACAGTTTCATACAGAAGTGCAAGCAAATTTCCCTCTTCAGACATCTGTAAGTACATTTGACCCATATGGCAACTGTTATAAAGGTAAAACATGGTTGACATATATTCAGACAAAACTCAATAAAAGCTAACAACTCGACCAGAAAGTAAAGCTAAAAAGCTCCCTTTATTTTCTTTCACTAACAAATTACATTTAAAACACAGATCCAACAGAAAAATATATATTTAATTATAATTTATACTTTCGACCACTATTGCTCTGACAAATGCTTGCGAACTCGATATCTTATAATATATGTATACTGCAGTGTAACAACATGACTGACTGATCCTTATATCTAAAAGAAAAAAGTACATGTTCGATGATATCTGAAGGAATATTTTCAATATTACCATTGTCATTATTTGAATTACAAGTTCTTAACAACTACAGACTGTCTACAGCTTCAGTAGTATTGAGAGTAATGTAAAAAAGGAGAAAACAACTTATGCAATATTTACATTATTTACACCAGGCCAGCACAAATGATCCTTCTGAAAATACACCAAAATAAAATTTTCAGCAGTATAATTTATGTTAAAGGAGAATTTGTGCATACAGAAAATGTCTTTTTTCAAGTCAAGACAAAATTGGCAGAGACCAAAAATAAAATTCCTTTCAGATAGATCAAATGTCCTCTAAAATTTCCCTTTCAATGGATTAACTTGTCCTTTGCAGAGATATGCAATACAGTTTTAGTCGGGCAATCAAGTGTATGGTTGTCTTAGGACAAACGAAGTACATGATTTCTCTTCTCGTATCATTCACTTATCACAGTACATACAGCACACAAAATGTAACTATAAGTGATGTCACACATTAAGTTATCATAAAATCAATGGGTAATACTGACCACTTTAATCCATAAACACACAAGTTTACAATGGTCATAAGTGCCATGCTTGTTGCTTTCTTTCAAAATTGGCTCCAGACTTTTCAACAGCTTTTTCAACTACCTTATAATAATCTCTCTACACATACTAGTACATGACTCTCTACACATTACATATGATAATGCAATCAATATTTCAGCTGATGCCTCTCTCATTTAGCCACCATTTGCTCCATTAAATGCACTATTTTTATTAATGTGAAAATCTTATCATATAACACTTACTACAAGTCTATGCTGTCAATATCATCTATTTACAAACTGCTGTCTCGAAGCCCCACTGATGCCCATGAAACAATTTTTTTTATCAGCTATTCAACTGTATGATACATGTAACTAAAAACAGTTTTTGTCAGAAATATTGTTACTATTGAGCACTGAGACCAACAGAACAGCAAGGGAATGTATATTCTAGGTCACAGTGACCTAAATACATGTAGTTATCTAGGCCAGTGTTTTGGGGCACTTTATTTTTTGTTTTTCTTAAAAAAAAATCATAATTTTATTTGAAAATATTCAAAATGTAAAACCATGGAAAATATGACCACCCCCCTTACATGAAAAAATAGAAATATTACAATTACTGCTAAAAAGCCACAAAAACATTTGATACAAATGCAAATTTCTGCCTTGAGATGCTGCTTATTAGTTGCCATGCCCTTGGTGCAATATTACATTGCAATATTACACACCAAAGTTAATCAAAATATATGAACAGAGTCCTGTCACAAAGGTGTGAAAAAATGATTTTTCAGATAGCACACCACTAACATCCATATAAAATATTTTTGATTATGATGCATATACAAGCAGCTGATATATCATGTTCAACCACTAGCTGCCCCTTATAACATGACTTGCCTGGGCTATTAATTATTTAACATTTATATTTACATCAAGATTTGTGACCCAAAGCCCATTTCACAAAGTAACTGAAAGCTCAACAATCTTTTGGTCTAAATCTCTGGTAGCCAGTATGCTGTTCATGTGCTGGTCTCAATCTTACTATTTTCCAGACTTTATAAAACAGTAACTGTTGTAGTATTTCATATAATTGAATCCCTATTGCTTTATCTTGGGTTGAAGGGGCCTAAAATTAAAAAACTTACAATAAAGCTTGATCTAATTCTGGGGCTTTAGTCACTTTGTGTAACAGGTTCTACAACTACTCCTACATCTTAAAAAATAACCTTCATAAACGCTGTCATTTTTAACCTGGGACCAGCTAGCCAGCGGCTCTTGTATTTATACTGCACATTCATAGCTGCTTCGCATCTAATATATGAATGAAACAGTGTTAAAAGCACTGACCTCGGTGTAAGTTGTTTTTCCTTACATAGCACAGGGAATTGCTTATAGACCCGTCAAGATGGTCTTCTCCGACTTGACACTGAGTGTTTGAGCAAACTGACAAGTAACTGTGATGTTATAGTAATTTATCTGGTTAGTTAGGCTATGAAGCGTGGCTATTATGGTAATTTTTTCATGACATGGACAGTCAGTTTCTCAGATGTAAATAAATTTCATTTAAAAATAAATAAATAAAAAGTATATATATATATATATATGTATAACTTCAACCTTCGGGTTGCCATATTTCAAAAAAAGATTATTATTATCATGCTTAATGCTAATGACATGGACAGCAAACTTTATTATTTATGGTCTAGATGGTCATGGTTGCTGTTCATGACATGGATAATCTGTTTGTAGTCAGTTTATCATACATAGTCGAGAAAATGTCCATCTCAGGAACATCATACAGCATTCTAATCAAAACTCATATATTTTTATATCATATCTATCAACTGGTGAATATGTACACAGTTTTCCTTTTTAATACACAGTCCATATAAAATACATAAAATCTTAATTAAATGTCAAAAAATGCATTGTCCATATTTCAGTCAAACATTTAGATATATACAGTATAATTCACAAACACAGTATTAGAAACCATATCTATATTCAAATCACTGACATGTAATGAATGAACATAAATCAGCATCCTCACATGATCAGGTCTCACTGTTAAAAATACCTGCCAGCATTTCAATGATGGTGACTGTATGCCCATTTGACTAGTGAATTCCTACCAGATGCAAAAATAATAATAATAATAATAATAATAATAATAATAANGCCTTAATCTTGAGCTTTGCAGTTGAAATGTCATCCATCACACAACCCACCTTTGCCTACTCC